TCCCTCCCTACAGAGCCGTCCTGACCTCCACGCCCCTGCCCAGGGCACTTTCCAGCAGATGTGGATCTCCAAGCAGGAGTACGAGGAGGGCGGGAAGCAGTGTGTGGAGCGGAAGTGCCCCTGAGGACGCCCCTCCCCCACACCCGCGTGTCCGGGGTAGGGGGTGGGGCAGCTGGTGTGTCCCCGGCCCGGCCTCGCGGCCTCCCGGCCTCCCGTGCCCACGTCGCCCCCTCCTCTTTCCTTCTCGCCCTCTTCCATGGCGATGTGTCTGGGCCGGAAGAAGTAAAAGCGTTTTAAGAAAAAACAAGTTTGGCCTCCTTGGGGGCGGGGTCGCAGGGGTCGGGAGGAGGGCGAGGGTGGACGCCGGCCCCTCGGTGGGCGCCGGGGACTCCTCGGGAGGCCACGCAGCGAGCCCCGCGGGAGGGCGCGACGGGCCCCCCGCGAAGGCGCGCGGCGGCGGGGCGGGGCCGGGTGAGGGCCGACCCCGGGACCGAGCCCGGGGGGCGGGGCCGGGGCGGGGCCTCGGCGTGGGTTTCAGGGGAGCAGCGCCTGAGCACCCCAGGACCTGCTCAGGTGAGCCGGGCTGTGCTGTGCCTTCCTTCCCGGGGCTCTCGGCGTGACAGGCGTGGGGCGGGGGGCTTCTCTCCAGACCTGGGTGGGAGCCGAGGCTTCCCAGGGGAGACCCCGGGGGGGATGGGGGCCTGAGCCGTCCTGCTCAGAGCTTCTTGTCCTGGGGTCCTCGGCGGGGCTTGCAAACCTGCGCCCCTGCCTGAAAGTGTAGGTAAAACTGAGAGGTTTGTGGTGCGGGGCTCCCTGGCCTTACAGAGGGTCCCCGGCCTCTCAGAGGGTCTCAGAGACAAAACCGGTCGCAACACGTGCGACGCAAGTCCTTTGGTGACCGGAGAGGCTCCGGGGCCCAGGGAGGAGGGTTATGACTTGCCCGTGCCTTGGCCAGGACTCTCTACGCCCCCGATGCCTGGCGTGCCCTGACCACAGATCCCTGACCCCAGAGCCCCCAGCCTGGAGTACTTGCTGGTCCTGCCGGACCGTGCGCTCACCCATGCCCCCCTCCCGGCAGCCAGCAGGGGCCCGAGACCGCCTTTCGAAAGAGACACCCACCACATGGCCTGACCGTGCCTCCAAGTCACACCACCGTGGCGGGGCCGGCTTAAGGTCCCACTGGGCCGCATGTCGGGGTGGGGAGTTCGGCTAACATGTTACAGGGTCCGGGCACCGAGGGGGCTGCAGGCCGGGTCAGGAGGGGACAGACGCCTCCACGGTGGACCCTCCACCTGGGTGTGGAGAGCTCGAGAAGGGTCCCCGAGGACACGGGGAGGGGTCGCAGCAGGAGAGGCCACGGGGCGTCCGTGCCGCCCGCCTCCCCCGCCGCCAGCCCCCATCC